TATTAGGTGCATAAATTTAAATCTCAGAAGGACACTATTAACAATTATAATTTCAGTGAATTTTTAACTGTTGAGTTAACTTGCTCCATAAATAAAAATAAGTAGACATTTACAATAACGTCTGCTTTTATTTTATTATATACCTTAGTTACTTCTGCATTGCTGTGGCAAAATCCCATGATCAAGGCAATTTATTTAAGGAAGAATATGTTTGAGGATTAGGGTTCAAGGGGGTCCAAATGATGAGAAAAGCATGACAGCATATGATGTTGAGAGCAGATGACAGCAGGTGGCAGGCACGGTAACAACTGAGAGCTTACATCTCAAATGGCAGAGAGGATCCTGAGAATGACACGTGAGTTTTGAAACCCAAGGCCATCCCTAGTGACACACTTCCTCAAGCAGGGTCACATCTACTGGGCTTCCACAAGCAGGGGAAACAACGTTTGACTACCAGAGAGCAAGCTTATAATAATGATGCGATGGTGCTGATGCTGATGATAATTATGATGATGTGATGATAATAATAATAATTATAAGCAACGGGAAGGAGTCCCAGCATTCAACAGGGCTCACATTGGAGGTTTTTTGGAAGAGGAGAAAGAAGGGGCAGAAAAGGGGGTAGATAGGAGACAAAGACTGGTCTCTGAGGACAAGAGTGGGAAAGGAGCAAGTATCCACAGGAGATGCTCTTTGTGGCTGCAACTGAGGTTGTATCATATTAGGACCCCAAGGACTGGCTGGAACTGATGCTTGAATGGTAACATTCCTCCCTTTTGTGAGGAATGTAAGAAAAGTAAGGAGTTAGAAAGGGGTAGCTTTTGAGGTGGAAATGAGGAGGCCATGTTCTTGAGACTACGTGCTTTTGACCTGGGCGATATCAACCATCTTGGGGGACCTGAGAAAGCTGGGGTGCTGACCATGTCCTGGGGTATCTGGCTGTTTCACTTTGCTGTTCAGGCTCTGTGGAACCATCAGATGCTGCTTGTACCTGGCAAAATGCTGACTGAGGTGGATCCAAGTTGACTTCCTGGACTCACAAGAACTGAAAGCACCTGTTCCTTTCCCATCACTAGAGCATCAACCTTGACACCCTCTTTCTTTCCAATTTGCTAGAAGACACAGGTGGTTGATTACTGAGGGCAGTCAGTAGTAAAAATTGAAACAGAACAAATTTGTACTAAACTAGTAAGGCTGTCTTCTGAGGAGGCAAGGAAAATTGATAGAGGAACGATCACCAGGGTCAAGTGGAAACAGGAGTTGGGTAAAGAAAAGAAAGGGGGAACCAGTGGGTGCTGAGCAGGACGACACTGACTTTTCCATCTGAGCTACACTTTGCAGCAAACAAACAGGACGTTTAGAGAGGGGAGCAGACAGAAAAAAAAAAAGTGGAGAATTCTTTCTTGGTTTTCCAATTTCCTGATTCGAGGAATAATGAGGCCAGATTTAATTTAAAAGGAGTGGTCAGTGGGTGTCCAAACCATGTCCCAATGAGGGTAAGGAGGTATACGTGATGACACAAATTCCACAAGTGAAGCAGAGAAGACCTAACGGTCTGCAATTCCTAGTGTCCCAGAAATTAGAGAGGATCAGAATAAGTAGGCACAGGCTGTCCTATACGTCATCATGCAAGAATAGGGGCAAAGGGCTTGAAGGCCAAGAGAGATACAGTTTCCTGGTACCAGGACTTCTAGAAAAGTCAGAAGGCAAAGAGAGGACTGTGTTTGAGAAATGAAGCTTCACATCCAGGGGAATGATGAGAGGTGGGTAACCTCACCAGAGACCAGTTGCCAGTATTGAATGGAAGGCAAAGACCCAGTGAATGAGAAAGACAATTTGTTGCAGACAGAAGATTTCTTGAGGGTGAAGCAGGTTGGTAGGGTCCCAATATAAATTGATTACCTTTAGTCAGGGATCAATCTTTGACTATAACATACACACATAAGTTATTAATGTTTTATGGGCATATAAATTCTTTTTTGTTGTTTATCTTTTCCGTTAGTGTTTCTGTTCAATGAGTGTGGTGACAAAGAGACTGTTTAGCTAATTTGAACTTTCTATAAATTCTATGGTAACACATAGGTCTAATGTAATTTAGTTGCTGTTTAAAGAGAAAGAGAAAGCAAGAGAGAAAAGGAGAGAGAAAAAAAACATAGAAGGTGACAGGCTCAACTTTTAAAAGAAAATATTTGGTCCATGGCTTTAGTTTAATTACATTTGATTAGAAAGGAAAAAAAAAGATGAGATAGTGAAGTCTTTATATGATTAAAGCAATGGTATATTTATTGTAGAGTTTTGTTTGTTTGTATAAGGAAGAAATGACATCTCTGAACATGAAAGTACCTGATGTGAGTAGAACAGAAATGAACATTGAAGGAGTTGAAGGAATCACAGAATCTAAAAAGACTGAATATATGATATTCAATATATCAGATCAAAAGACTGAATATATCAACTTATGAAATATACCATAACTTTTGGAAAGATTTAAGGTGAAAAAAAGCATCACCATTATTGATAGGTAAGAGTTTCTAAATGTGGTGATGGCCATTTGGTTTGCTGGTTGGCTAATTTGTTTGTCTTAAGACAGCATATTTCCTTGGACTCATTCAAATTTAGTTTTGTTTCTCCAAATGTTGAATAATCTGAGGATATTTGTGAGTGAAGAATATGAAGAGTCCCTTATTTTCTCTTGTATTCAAAGACCTGAGCATTAGGACTGTGTTGAATTAAAAGCTGCGATTTGAGGAAATAAATGAATTTCAAGTATAATGTGAAGATATAGTAGAGTATTCTTATTAAGAATTCTATCTCTTCCATTTTTTTCTGTGATAACTGAATTGAGAGTCTACATTTCTAACATTGTCAAATGCTATTCAATCAACATAATTTCCTTTATTGGTTTAAGAGCATGCCCAGATCACCACATTAAGGATTAGAACCCTTATTATGGAACTCTAGTTCTGAAGTCCATTTCTAGTATCTAGTAATGGCTATGAAGGATGGCAATAGCCCATATTTTGTTAAAATGACTGTTGGCTGTAAATTCTAGCCTCTACCCTTAGTAAAACTAGGTATATGATCCTTTAATTCCCTTGATGAAGGACTGCATATTTTATCTTTAAAATATTTATGAATGTTTTGTCTCAAAAAGACTAAGAAATTCTTTACTGAGTATATTTGGCCCTCCCTATTTTCTAACCATACACATGAAAAAAAGAGAGAGGGAGAAAGGGAGTGACAGAGGTAGATGGAGAGCCTCCTACCTGCATCTTTAAGAACAGTGCTCATTGGAAATTAAAAGAACTTTGTGAGTTGAAATAATCAGAACTTCCTATACCTCGTTTCAAATACTTTAAATCTAGCAATACTTTGTGGCCATTAGTTTCTACACCAACACCTCAATTTTCAAATAGATGTTGTCTACATTCGCTTTCCTATTTATATACATACTCCACTCTGTGGAGGCAGAGCTGGGACCAGCGCAACGTGAGGTGCAGCGAAAAATCAGCTTTCGAGAACCCGAGGCCCTGGCTGGTTCCCGGGGTGCGGTCCCTGGTAGCTCCAGTAGTCCTGTTTGCAGCTCCCAAGCTTAGTGCAAAGCATCTGGGCCGGGCACACAAGCCTCGAGGGCGGTCACCACTAAGAAGGCCTCATTGGTGGCGAAGGCGAAAACAGAGCCAAGCAGGGTTAGGAACCTGTTTGGTGGTGGAAAGGTGGAGATGACTTGAGAAAGAGCAATCAAACCTTTGGAAGATGACTTTGGGGAGGGAGACCACTCACCTAAGTAGTTCCCTCCATCCTGCCAGATACTGAGACAACTCTACACCCCCTTCGGGCTCAAACAGGCCAGGAAGGGGCTCATCATGCGACCCAGCACCCCCGGAGGCCCCAGACCGGGAGGCTCTTCCTTCCCCGGGACCACGAGGGCTGTCAACTCTAGACGGATCTGGGAGGTAGACACAAGAGAAATGGGTGAAAAGTTCCTAACCTGCTTGGCCTACTATTGGGTTCTGAAAAAATCATCCCTCCGGTTTAGCTGGGTTTCCTCCTGGTTCTTCTTATCATCTGAAGGGAGAGGGGACCAGAAAGGAGCCTGCTTTCCTTAGCTTCTCAGTCTGGGACCCTGTTTTCTTGTTCAGAGCCCTCAGACTCTGGCCTTAACTCAAACGTACCTTGGGAAGGTAGCAGTCCCTCTGGGTTGCAGGACTGCAACCCCGGCCTGCAGCCTGTCAGGATACCAGAGGTGATCTGAAGCAAGGCAGTAAGGGCTGGAGAAGGAGAAGGCTCGAGTTCCCACAGGCTGGACGGCTGACTTCTCTAAGCCAGTAACACAAGAGGCCACTCATGAAAGAGTCTCACACTGGTGTAAAGAAATAACAGCGTGAGGACAGCGAAAGGAATTGCATGGCAGAACCAGCGTCCCAGGGCTGAGGATGTCAGTGAGACCTCCATGACCTTTGCTGGCACACATCACTTAGCTGGGTGGTGGCTTTTGCCTCCCGTGGTGTCCAGAGGTGCAGATGGTTAATAATTAATCTATTAAGGCCCCCTCCCTGTGTCCTTTGCCCTAGAGGTCAGAGCCTGGCGTGAGGAATCTAATAAAGATCTGGCGGCAGCGGGGAGGGGGGTTAGCATGTGACATGTTACCTTTACATGTGGGACTAACCTGTAATAGGAGGAAGCCTCTCATGGGTCCTACTTTAACCCTGGGCACGAATTCATTAGAACCGGAGGATAATGGATCTTTGTAAATCTCATCTGGGGACCGAGTAATAACACTGTGAGTGGAAAAACTGATCCCAATTGCCCAATAACTCTTGCTGGGGGGCGATAGTGATGGAGGAAGGTCATTGGCTAATAAAGGAACTGCCTTGACCCATTTTATTGGTTAGAAGATAGGTGGGAGGAGAAAACAGAACAGGATACTGGGAGGAAGAGGAAGTGAGCTCAGAGTCTCGACAGCTCTCCTCTCGGGAGCAGACGCCTGAGAGAGACGCCATGCCCCTCTCCCGGGATGAAGCTCCGACCCAGGATGGACATAGGCTAGAATCTTCCCGGTAAGCGCACCTTGGGGTGCTACACACAGATGATTAGAAATGGGCTAAATTAATATGTGAGAATTAGCCTAGAAGAGAATGGGCCAAGCAGTGTTTAAAAGAATACAGTGTCTGTGTAATTATTTCGGGCATAAGCTAGCCGAGCAGGCGGCTGGGGTGCCAGGGACGCAGCCCCACCGCTCCTCTTATTATTACACGATAGCAGCGCTATTCTTTTATATTCTTATGATTTAATTTTTGTTTTTTCTTTTGTTTTTTGAGACAGAGTTTCTCTGTGTAGCTTAGGAGCCTGTCCTGGAACTCACTTTGTAGACCAGGCTGGTCTTGAACTCACGGAGATCCACCTGCCTCTGCCTCCCGAGTCTAAAGGCTGGGTCTAAAGGCATGTGCCACCACCTCCTGGCATGATTTCATTTTTAAGCCCCACATTAACTTTTCCTTCACTAAAACAATCTTTACTCTCTTCTACCATGGCAGGCCCTATACTAGATTCCCCAGAATCTCACAACAGCCCAGCATTTGACATACCATTATAGGTCTCTCTAAAATACAGACTAACGAAAATGGCTATCTGGAACTCCTGGTAACAGAATTGTTGATCTTTATTCCAAGAACCTTGGGAAGGCACCAAAATCCATATGTGGTGTGTGTCCAAGCAGACTTTGAGGAATTTGTGCTCTGAGACCTAAAGTCCTCATGACATTTCCTAAAACAACAACACTAGCAGGGTATCAGGTGATTCTGCTTTTGGTAAAGGTGTTCATGACAGGATCTAGTGAATGTTCCTTATTGAGGAGCAGAAAACCATTGTTGAATGCACAAATACAGGTCAGAAAACTAAGTAAATATTATGCTTTTTTGTTTGTTTCTTTTGAAACAGGGTTTCTCTTTGTAGTTTTGGCTGTCCTGGACTCACTCTGTAGACCAGGCTAGCCTCGATCTCACAGAGATCTTCCTGAGATCCTACTTCTGCCTCCTGAGTGCTGGTATTTAAGGCATGCACCACCACTGCCCAACTAATATTAAACTTTTTAAGATAATAAAAATCAACTTGTTCTATGAAAAAAATCATTCAAAATAGTTTAAATTTTTTTAAAAAAAAGTATTAAAAGGGTTAGGAGTTTAGTTCAGTGGTAAAGCATCTTTCTAGTGTGTGCAAGACTCCAGTTCAACCCCCAGTACTCTGTGTGTGCATGTGAGTGTGTATGTGTATGCATGTGTGCATGTGTGTGTGTAGCACAGCTCGAGCTGCACTGGGAGCATCTTCTGTCTTCCCCACTGGAATGTGAGCTTAGATGAAGACAGGTGCATTCTCCCTCTGTGTATTCTGAAGACTGAACCCATGACTTTGCGTGTGCAAGGGAAACACTTAGCCTTGAGCTGTAGCTTCTTCAAATCCCACTTTTCACCCCTTTCCCTTTTTATTTTTGAGACAAGGTCTAAACTGAGCAGATTGATTCCTTTTATTTATTTGATTCTTTGAGAAGGGTCTCTATATGTAGGCCTGGTTTATTGATTTATTTGAGACAGTGTCTCTCTATAGCCCTGACTATCCTGGAATTCACTCAATAGATCAGGCTGTTCTTAAACTCACAGAGATATGCCTGCCTCTGCTTTCTGAATACTGGGAGTAAAGGTGTGTATAACTATGGTCCACATCTCAGGTTGGTTCTGAACTTTCTATCCTAAGCTTTCTGAGCCACTGCGATCACCCACAGGCTGGGGCCACTAGGCCTGGTCAGGCACCTTACTTTTCTTGGTCATTTTAGGCATTTGGAATATTGTTTGCATCAAATGCATTATAAATAAATAAATATTCGTTAAGGAGAGCAATGTGTCTGAATGAGGCCAGTAAGTCAGAGGTGGTCCCTGTCCCCTGAGAAATCTAGAATGTTTTGTTTTCTTGTTTTATGAATTAGGGGTCAATCTACTGGTCATAGGAGGGAAGGCATTCTGGGAAAGGAGTGAAAAAAAATATAAGCAAGACAGGGCAAAGTGGGTGTAACCCCAGAACTCAGGAGCCTGAGGCAGAAGGATCAAGAGTTCCAGGCCAGCCTGGGGTATATAGTGAGATCCAGGCTAGTCTTGGCTACACAGTAACCCCTGTCTTAAAGAATATGAGAAGCAGAGGAAGAGCAGCCCCATTTGTTCAGTTACCTCAGTTCCTGTTCTTAAAGTCTTAGAATTATTCCCAGCTCACTGGATATGGTGCCCCCTGCACTTGGGAGGTCTAGAGAGAAAGATTCTGGAGAAGGTCAGCTTAAGGCAACTGTGCTCGGGTAACCTTGCTCGGTGTTTTATGTTAACAAACTAAAAAGAAGGGAATCTCAATTTTAAAAAGTCTCAGCTGGGTGGTGGTGGCACAGGCCTTTAATCCCAGCACTCAGAAAGCAGAGGACGGCAGATATCTGTGAGTTTGAGGCCAGCCTGATCTATAGAGGAAGAAAAAGTTCAAGGACAGGCTCCAAAGCTACACAGCGAAACCCTGACTTGAAAAGCAAAGCGAAGGACTGGAGAGATGGCTCAGAGGTTAAGAGCATTGCCCGCTCTTCCAAAGGTCCTGATTTCAATTCCCAGCTACCCACATGATGGCTCACAACCATCTGTAATGGGGTCTGGTGCCCTCTCATGGCCTGCAGGCATACATGCAGACAGAATATTTTATACATAATAAAAGGGAGGAAGTGGAAGAGGAGGAAGTAGAGGAAAGAAAGAGGAAGTATAGGAGGAAGAGGAAATAAAGAAAAGGAGGTAGAAGAGGAAGTAAAAGAGGAAGATGAGAAAGTAAATGAGAAAGAAGAGGAAGTAAAGGAGGAGGAAGATGAGAAAGTAGAGGAGGAAGATAAGGAGGAAGATGAGGAAGTAAAGAAGAAAGAAGTAGAAGAAGAGGAAGTAGAGGAAAAAGAAGAGGAAATAAAGAAGAAAGAAAGAGGAAGAAGAGGAAGCAGAGGAAGTAGAGGAGGAAGTAGAAGAGGAAGTAAATGAGGAAATAGAAGAGGAAGTAGAGGAGGAAATAGAGGAGGAAGAAGAGGAAATAAAGAAGAAAGAAAGAGGAAGTCCACGTATACCTGGATATTTTCTCTACTCTGGTCTTTGCTTCTTCACAGGAAGAAAGTATATATATTCTCATTTTGAGTAGTGATTCTTTTTTCTATTATTTGCTTTATAAAAAATTCAGAAATATTATAATAGAGTAACAATTAGCATAATATATGTCAGAAGCAGATAAGCCCATATTTCTGACAATTGGTGTTTTTCATTTTTATGAGAATATTAAATTCTAGATTATTTTTCTATAGGAAAACACAACTTTTCAAGTATTAAATGTTATGACTATGAAGGCACTTAGAACCATACATAAAATGTAAAATAATAAAAAAATATAACTTTCTATAAACTTTCTGTCTTTAACAGAAATTGCAAGGGGAAATTTTCTTATTTAAACTAAATGAGTGCTTTCCTTTATTTAAATATGGTTTGGTCTTAAATATTTGCTTCTTAACCATTCAAATCAAAATAGTCATTACATTATTTATTTTCTCATAATTAAAATTAGACACAATGGCTCCAGAGATTTGAAGAGTATTTGTAGGATAAATTCAAGTTTGGTGTTAAAATTTACGAGCTCAGTTTCTACTAGAGAGCGACAACAGTGTTAAATAGCAGACTGGAAAAGAAAACTCATATGAAATATTAGCCATTTCATTGGAGAACATTGTTTAATATTTCAACCATGACAAGATGTCTGAGATATATACAGGTATACATATAATTTGGAAACAATTTGTAAGCGACAGTTTCAAATAGTAGAAAATATCCTAAATTTTAGAAAAGTATGGATGATTGTCTGAGTTTGGTAAGTATGCTTTGAAGTTGACTACTTTCATTTCATGTTCAGTTGGCACTGAATTTTTTTTTTAATTTGGGCTTGATCTAATACTCAGCTTATTTGCATTAATGTTAACACTCTCATCTATAGAAAAGCTATTTTTTTAAAACAATGCCATCTCTAGGATAAAACAGACTTTCACACCAGATTAAGCACACTCAGGTGCTACATTATATGTGGAGATAAGCAACAGCTCTCTTGGTTAGATAGATTCCAAGCCTTCATTTCAGTAGAAATTCATGACTGGTCCTGTAGATGGTTAAAAACAGTGGCAAGAGAAGTAAACATAGTGTGTTGCTATGTGGTTAAGTTGTCAACTGCCTCCTAAATATTTATCTATTTTTTTCTATCCATAGATATGTCCTGCTCTCAACATTGCTTACAGGAACTTCTTATTAAAATGGGTAGAGGTTAATGGGACTGTCGAACTGCTGAAAATAAGGACGTATGAGTACTGTCTCAGATCGGACATCTATGTCCACCCTCTTTCCCAAGGCTGTCTTATAACAGTAGTTTACTGTTCTTTTTTTTTTAATAAACTTTCTTCTTATGTTCTGTATTCATTCCAATAAATTACATTATATCTCAATACCTACCTAGTCATTACTTGGTTATATCAATGATTTAAATCAACAACTATCACCTTCCCCCAACCTCCCCACACCAACTGGTGCCAATTAACATTGCACTGCAAGAGGTAAATTACCTCTCAATTAATTTGATCTTAATGATTGGCCGGGTATGAGAATAGAAATAGAATTATTACATTCATTCTAGATGTTTATGACAAGTAAAGCCTTGAGAGATAGTTTTGTGATTTCCATATCTTTATAAAACTATTAAAAATGCATCACATAATTCACAAATGAAGTGAATGTGCTATACCATGCCTATTATTATTTAGAAAAACACATCCACTGCAACTTACAAACCTATTTATTCTTTGTCCAATGTAGATCTTTCCTAGAAAAAAAGAATGAAGTGTTTCTCTACAGGTTCACACAACATCTCTTTACATTCTTTACATGAAATGTGTCATTTATATTTAATTTCATAACTCTTACTATGTGAATAATGCAACTATACAGTTATTACTCATAGTGCTATGACTCTATATGGTAGTAGAACAAAATAGATTTTCTTGCACTTCTATTTCCTAGTACCATGCATTTAATGCTGGGTCTGTAATTACAAACAAGGCTGCATCATCAATCATGCCCAGAGTGAATGTTGGCTATGAATGCCTTCTAAAAGGTTATTTGTTCATTGATGATATTCCAAAGCAAGTTTCAGTGTTTTAAGAAAACTTTGGAAAACAATTCTTTTATAAAATTCATTCAAAGAATATAATAATATAAATACAGAATAACATTTTTTTCCTCAGAAAATATAGCTTTTGGTGCTTTTAAGCCACAGTCAGTGCATTAGAAACATATGATTTTCACTAAGGTTCACTTCACAATTGTCTTCTTTATGCCACTGCTAAAAGAGGATAAGTGAAAGGTGTCCCTGTGAAGACAAAAAAGCAGTCTCATTCCCCATAGGTGATCAGTCTTTTCATTGTCACAGATTTAGACTGAGCTGAGAAAGTTTGACATTACTGTATTGATTGGATGCAAAAGAAGATATTGATGTGAATAAGTCATTAGCATTATGGAAAAGTGTTCTCAGAATCCCTTGGAGAAGAAGATAGATGTGACCATCATGAAATATTGCTTTTCATGAAGGTGGAAATCTATAGCAGGGGAACTGAGCAGGTGTCTAAGAAGTTGGAACACATTGAGAATTCCTGATGCCTGGATACCACATTGAGATACTAATGAGAAAGAGCACTGTGGTTCAAACCCACATGTAATTCAAATTTTTTTTAAAGTCAGCAGTGAAGCATTTGTTATGTCTAATCTCGAGTTTATCTCATATTCTATGTCAAATAACTTACTAGCACTAGTCTTGAGCCCCAGACTTAGATGCCTTTGTAAGAACACTGACTCTTCAAGAGGATCTAAGTGGAGGATATGGAGCTCCATGGAGAAATTGGTCAATCAGAATATCAGAAATGGAAGCAATGAGTAAACCCTGACCCCTGAGCCACTTGAGTCCTAATATAGCACAAGTGCTAGTGAGCACTCACTGTAGGGAAACACTCTGAAGTGGAAAGATGAAAGACTGTGAGAAGCAGGATTTAGACAAAGGTTTAATGTGAGATTTATGTATTCTTATTTAGTTAAATGGATGAAAACTTCTTGAGTAGTCTCATTCTCTAGAAATACATATAAAATGAGAATCATCAATTACAAAATATTAAAAGGTACACAAGTTAAATTGTCAGAAAAAAATTAGAGATGAAGAGAACCTAGAAACTCCAAGTTATGTCTAAAGACTCCCAGAGACTGGCTCAGGAAAAATGTCTGATTATAAAAATAGCATGGGATTGTAGAAAAGTTTAGGAAAGTAGAGAGTCTTCAAAAGCAGGTCTCACCTATTCTTTTCAGAATAAGAAGGAACTTACTCTAAAAAGGAAAAGAGCAATACTCAGCATGGGGAGCAGGTGATCAGGAAAATAATAAAACAGTGTGGAAAAATAAAAAGTTGATTACTCATAGGTTTTGCTCATTTCTTTGGCAGTATAGCACCATCTTAAGAACAGTATCTTGGAATGTGGAAATAATTCAAACAGAAGGACAGGAAGTGATGGAGTTCAGTGGGAGAAGATCTGTTTGCCAACACATTCATTTCAATAACCTGATAAATTTAATGAGTTAATATGGGATATCAAAATTCCTACCCTAACAAAATTATAACAAAGAAGAAACAAATCACACAGTTCAGTATTCTGAATAGCAGTAAAAATTTAGGAGACGATTAAGCACAGAGATAGGGTGAAAGGGTCATTTCAATGGATGTTTTACAGTGCTGAAATTTTGTGTAAATAACCTTATGGATGTGATGCACAAATCCAGGCAGAATATTAATGGGAAATGATCTTAGAAAGTGCAATCTTGTCAAAGCATACACAAAGCATAGAATGTGACAAATAATATACTGTATACTAGAAAATCACTCACTGTACCAGCAACAGATATGTGAACCTAGAAAGAATAGAAATATAAGCATACTACAAATAATATTTTTGTGTTTTGGTTTGGGTAGAAATTTTTAGTACCTTAAATATAATATCTTGGTTAGGATTGTTATTGCTGTTATGACACATCATGCCTGACCAAAAAGCAAGCTGGAGAAGAAAGGGTTTAGTTCATTTATACTTCCATATTACTGTTCATCGGATGCAGTTAGGGCGAGAACTCAAGCATGACATGAATCTGGAAGAAGGAGCTGATGCAGAGTTCATGGAGGCACTTTGCTTACTGATTTGCTCTTTGTGGTTTTCTCGCTCAGCTTTTTCATAGTAACTAGGACCAAAATTCCAGAGTTAGCACCACACATAATTTTCTATGACCTCCCACATCTATCACTAATTTAAAAAATGCCCCATCGGCTGTCCTATAGCTTATACTTATGGATGTATTTTTTCCAATGTTGTTCCTTCCTCTGAGGTGACTATAGCTTGTGTCAAGTTGACATAAAGGTAGCTGGTACCAATGGTATGGTTGGAAAAGAAACTCTCCTTCTTTGTTTTAGGAAACAAAACTATTCATAAACTGTTAATGGAAATGTGGTATTCCATTCACTGTTCATTGAGAAGGGATTTCTTTTGATATTGGAAGCTTTACTCCCATGGTAGTATCCATAGGCACTCGCTAGGGCAGTGGCAGGAATTTGTAATGCAGATTCTCACTAATCTCAGAGAGAGAGAGAGAGAGAGAGAGAGAGAGAGAGAGAGGAAGAGACAGGAGAAAGGAGAAAAGGTACAGAACATCGAGTGATATCACATTTCCATCACTAGTTTACGAATACCTTGATTTCCTAGAACTAAAAGAGGCAGTTTTTTTTTCTTTTCTACCTGTACTATTGGTGGTGACTCCCACCTATAAATTATTTTTATTGCTACTTCAAAACTGGAATTTTGTTGTTGTTTTGAATCATAATGTAAATATCTGTGTTTTCTAATGGTCTTTGGTGGCCACTGTGGAAGAGTTGGTTCATTCAACCCTAAAGGATTCATGACCCACAGGTTGAGAACTACTGATATAGATGGAAACAATAAAAGAAATACAGAAAAAGATTTCAAGATAGCATCCCACGTGTTCAGTAAACTGTAAATCAGTTCTGTGTTCTGTGCTTGATTATATAGATTTCATAGAGATTGAATATGTTGGTTACTCAAAAGCAATGAATGAAAGTTATTAGGCCATATAGCAACAAATTCAACTGCAATAAATGTTGCTGAAAAGGAATAAGTTTTGCTACATACACGGCCTTTTTATTTAGACAAAGCTAAGGGACTTTGTCTCTCACATGGTGTTTGAGAACCAGGGAACATTTTATGAGGAATGCAAGGAAGATAATGCAGAGAAGGGTATAGAGTTCTTTGAGACTATTTCCTTTCATTTATTCCTTGATACTTGCTAAGATTGGGAAAATGAAGCACAGTAACACATTGACATTTCCCAGATCTTCCCAGTAATATTTTTAAGTTAGGTCACTCAAGCCCATAAGAAAGAAACGATTCTATTTTCTCAAAGTATTTATTTCTTTAATTCTTTGTGAATTTGTTCTTAAACATTTTCATTTTCCAAATAAAACTGTATGTCTTTATTTTGAAATGTGTATATCCTTACCAATGAGTTTATCAAGAAACTTTGTTGAGACTGTTTTTATATAATATTTCCAATGTATTCTTTGATAATTTTATACTTCAAATATGGATTTCATTTGTTTTCACCCTTCATACCACCCTGGAAACTCTTACCCACTCTATGCTCAAAGGTTAACTGGCTTGATCTTGTAGAGGTCTTGTACAAACAACCACAGCTGTCATAAGATCATGAGAGTAAGGGTCCTATTATGTTTTATAGAAGTCTGGAAAGACTTCTGACCCTTCGAATCTTTCTGTCCCCTCTTTTGTCATGAGCTTTGAGATTTTGTGGGAGGATATAAAACATGGGTGTTAAATCTGAAGCTGAGCACTTCACAGATACTTGTTCTCTGAACTTTGGTCAGGTGGGAATCTCTGCAGTAAACACCACACAATTTACAGTCCTCTGATGAGGACTGAGAGCTACATTAATGGGGGATAATGCTCCTCCCAGAATTCATAGGTTGCCAAATAGAAAATCAAATGCTATGTGTGGGATACTTTTAAGTAGTGAGTAATAAATGTGTCAAAGACTGTAAAGAAAATGCAAGTTGTTACCATTGCTCTTGGTTGCCCCCAAAATTGATAATAAGATTTTATGGAATTGGACTGGCTCAATGATTAAGAGTATTTATGTTGCAGAGGACCCAGATTCCAGTACAGACAGTGTCTCTCTGCCTTTAGGGTATCTGACCTTCTTGTCTTGATTTCATGGGTACCTGTAATCACATGCATATACCAAATGCATATGTACATAATTTTATATATATAAATTCAAAATGAGAGCCAACTTTTAGAATAAGTCTTAAGTTTTGTGCAGATAGGCATTCAGT